AATTAAAATAAATCTAACCAAATTAATGAAATAAAATAAGTATTAAATGATAAATAATAAAAAAATTACAATAAAAAAGTCCAATAAACAACTAAATACAAATATAATAAAAAAAACAAAATCTATTAATGTCTGCGACGCGAATGTGTTCTGTAGGGCGGTGGTTATCGATCTCGAGGAGGATTTCTTTGTATCAGTGGTTGTGACTCATCGCGGTCATCATCATCACCATTGTCGTCGTCGTCGTCGTGAGCAGCTACATTAGGTTGATGAGGAGCTGATGACGATGAAACACCTCCATAGAATAAGGACCCTGGAGGTGTATGACTGACTATCCCACCGGCCTACGAAAACTGGGAAAACTCATAAAACCCAGACATCGCTGAGTGTGAAAACTGTATAGGAGGTGCCTGTGTTGTGACCATGGGTGATAAGACTGAACCCGCTAAAATGTGGGCATATAAACCCTAAGTTGGATATACAAACATAGACCCATAATATCCTCCAGGAGGGGTCATAAAACTCTGTGACGGTGGCGGGGTCATAAAACCAGGTGAGAGTGGCGAAGGCGGCATCGGGTAAGGGAACGGCGATGACGACATCACATATGGCTACGGAAGGTAAGTCGCTGTAGATGGTGGCTGCTGTGAAGGTTCTGTTGGTGCATCTGAGGATGAACAGGAAGCACCTGCTCTCTGTCCACGAGTCGGGGGACGATGGTGTTGTGTCGGTGAACGTCTCTGTCGACGTCGCTGAAAGGTCCACCCTCGTACATCCTTGAAAAGCAGAAATGGTTCCCTGTTATTGTTGAACCACTCGTAATAAGCGTCAGCAACCATCAATAGGTCAGTAAAAATGGGCTCTCTACGGAGAAGGCGCCGATGTCGATCCTCTTACAGCATGACCCACTCGTTATACCTCACCAGCCAATCTGTATCGGTCTTCCCGCGTCTATCTGTGCTATGAAACTCGTCCAAATTCTTGGGCTTTCGGAATTGGTTGAAAACAACCAAATTGCCGGAGCACGCGATTAGTGGAGTGCCACTCGACAATCGCATAACATATCAAAGGGCGCCATCCAAACATCTAATGGGACCCTCAACTCAGGTGGGATCACCATCCTCACATCATTATTAAAATATGTCACTCATTCGAACTAAAACAAATATATATAATTTTTATCAAAATAATAATCTAATTATACAACTATAATCTAAAATCAATTTTTAAACATTAAAAGACATACATGTGTGCCAACCTTCTGATCGATTAACACCCTAATTTTTTCTAAATCATCAGGTAGCTCCTGATGATTTTTCCTATCAGTAGACCACCTATTCAAGGAAAACAAAATTTATAATACACTGTATAAAATTATTAATGTAACACCCCCAACCCGTATTCGACCCGGATCCAAGTCCGAGATGTCACATTGACTTTTCACACACACACACACACACACATGTCATTATCATTCATATCTCTTATTCTTTTGTTCATATAATCTCTCATGTTCATATCATATATCTTAACATGTACCCACTTATATTATATAACATATACAATCAAGCAACTATATCACCATCTTCATTTTTATCACTATCATAGATTTCTTTTATCATATGATCTTATAATTACCATTTGTACAATCATATATCACACATAACATTTCACAAGGAAACAAACATATCATCATATCAAGTTTATTTATATTATCTATTTATTAGCCCATGTACACATGTGAGAACTAAAAATATGTGAGTACATAGAGGTTGTGGACTATGTTGTCACCACAGCTCGCATAACTCCCTCAAGGGGCACTGAATATTTGTCCCGAATGACCACTATGTCCCGAAGGACCACTGATTGTTCCGAAGAACCACTATGTCCTGAAGGACCACTGTTTGTCCCGAAGGACCACTGATAATCCCTCGACTCTTGGCATGCCAACTATACCCCTAGCTCTCATATCACATAACATGGGCATTATCTTTTATACCATTACACATCTTCACATAGCCACATAGCTTTTCACATAACATTTTCATTTGCACATGTAATTACTTAACTTATTTTTAGATAGCTCATGTTCCATATTCATATCTCATAAACACGTAGCTCATATTACTTATATTCACATATATATTCACATCACTAATTCATATAAGCTCATGTATTCACATGGGCTAAAAGAAAGTTTGTTTTCATCTTTTAATGAAGGTATGTATCGATGCACTCTACAGTGTATCGATACATTCCTTAACGTGTGCATCGATACAATACCTGTGTATCGGTACACCATTTACATTCGATGTTTTCTTCTTAAGGGGTGCATTGATGCACTCCTTATGCATCGATGCACTAATTGCATTTGATATTTACTTATTTGAGAGTGCATCGGTACTTATTGAAGATGCACCGATGCACACAACCCAAAAATGTCATTTTGAACACGAAAATCCCTTCATTTCCCTCTCAACACTTCATATTTCACATTCTTTAATATTCCTAACTTTTATACACATATTTATACTTACTCAATAATCAATTCATTAACCTCCCAATCATATCCTTTATATGGCATTCAAGAATCATACGCAAATATCAACATGTTCCAAATCTCATTCTAACACTTCATATTTCTTATTTAGATTGATGACAAGTCAAATTCAACTTCCAATTCTAATTATCAACTCTATATCAAGATTTCATTCAAGAACTCATAATCTTTAATATCTCCTAATTCCATCATCTTTTGATTTTAAGATAACTTAAGCTTTCCTTAAACTTAGTTATCATCTAATGATCAAAACCCAACTTAAATTTCAACTAATAATCAACTATTAAGAAATCTTACCTTTGCAAGTTGGAGTCCACGGCTGGGAGAAAGAAGAAGAAAACTCTGGAGAAATCTCTCCTTTCCCCACGTGGTTCCCTTATCTTATAAGAGGGAAAAATATCTTTCATGCTAAATGACTATTTTTCCCTTTGATTCCTTTAATAATTAATAAATCATTCAGGAAATATTTCTGAATAACTCATTGAATTATTCAAATATCCTACTTTAATCACCACATTCTGAAGTTTTACAATTTAGTCACCAACCCATAGTTTGGGATGTTACAATTAATATACGAAATCAGTTTTATAATTACCTCAAGAGTAGCGAAAATACGAATGGGTTCTTGACAATGGGACATAAAAAGGGCAATCGATACCATGCCCAATACTGCAGCAGCAGGGGACATTCGCCGATAGCATTTTTCTTATAGTCGGTGACTCGACACATCTCCTTGTACAGGAAAGCCAAAACTATCGAGCCCCAACTGAGTGATCCAGCCAGATGAAAGTCACCAAGATGTCACAGCCACATACAGTGAACTTGGTTGCATGATTTGTCCGGCATCAACAACCCTCCTATCAGCTGCAGTATGCATGCCCGTGCATACATTTTAACTTCATCATTAGAGGCGTCATCGCTCAACTCCCGAAAATTGGCATCTAACCAATTTAACGGCATCCGACCACCGTTAAAACTTTCCGGGACACGTCCTAGATAGTCCCGGCACAAAGCAATCCAGGAACCGTGTGCCATCCCCGATATCACATCTCCATCCATCGAAAGCCCCAGGTGCATAGAAACATCCTCAAGTGTAATCGTGCACTCTCCGCACGGAAGATGAGATGTGTGGGTCTCCGGCCTATACCGCTCCACTAAGGCAGAAATAAGGTATGGTTCTATCTTACAGTTACCCTCATATATACCTATGTGATTGAATCCAACCTATACTAAATACGGCAAGACACAACTAGGTATCACTAACTTAAGGTTCTTAATAAAAGGATTTAATACATGATCCATCTCCTAAAATTAAATAATTACAAAAATTAAATTTTAAACTAATAATCATGCATTAAATAAATAAATAAATTATTACTAAAAATTTAAATTATATTAAAACGTTAATGTTACCGTATCAGCAAAATGTGGCGATATATGATTTTCATCCAAGCGAAGTAGACCTCATACCATTTTATATCTGCAAAAAAAATTAAATAAATAAAATATTAAAAAACTTAAATAAATTAAAAATAAAATATTAAATATAATAAAATATACCTTAAATAGTTAAAATAGAATATAAGAATATTTGAGAGAAGTTGAGAGTATTTGAGAGAAGTTGAGAGGATTTGGTGTGATGAAAATGATTATGAATGAGGGTATTTATAGGGAGGGAGTGTGGTGTGAACGACCGGGGGTAAGTGGGTAATTAAACCTAAGGCGCGCCGTAGGGGGCGCGTCTTACTGACGCGTGACATATTTAAAGGTAAAACGCGTCCTATATCCCGCGTTATACCCCACATGACGTCAGATTAACGTAAAACGCGCGGCAAGGGGCGCGCCTTACTATAAAGGTAGTTAGATCGAGAAAAATAATTTGAAGGGTGACTGATAAAAAAATATAAAGTCAAAGGGTGATATATTAAGAAAAACGCCGTAAAAACAAGTAGAAGTTTGATAATCCAGAACCCTTAAGGGCGGCTGAGCCTGAGATATGGCCATTCCCTTTTCCTATTCCTTTCTACCTTTGGTGTGGCGGAGCCCATAGAATTCACATCATTTACTAAATCAAATAAATCAAGTCTTTTTGTATTTTTTTACTTTATTATCAAAATGAATTTCATAAATTTTAAAGATTATTTATAAAAATAATATGTATTTGTGCTACATAAAACGAAAATATACTTTATCAACATTTTCATCTTACATGATGCTATTTGAAAAATAGAGTGTCTTTAGTATGCACTTAATTGATCATATCTAAAATAAATATCAATTTTTTTAAATAATTCAATTAAATAATATTTTTAAATAAACATTATTCTCGTAAAGTTGTCGCGATAAGAAGAAAATGCGCGAGGAGGGAAAAAACGCAAGCAAGCACTAGTCAACAACGTAGAAACTCCTCCCTCCAAAAATTCAATCTCTCTCTCTCTCTTTCTATCAGTTTTCCACAATAAAAAAAAACCTTCTTTCTTTTATACTATAAATATTCTCAAATCCACCTTCCTCTCTCCAACTTCTCTCCTAATATCTTTTTTCACTTTGTTTGTTCGTGCAATGCCACAGGGCAATTTCGAAACCTTTGTTTCTGCCTTCGCCGGCGGTTCTTGCGATAACAAAATCGTCTGCGATACCTTAGCAACCACCCAAGAGCAACTCCACACGGCGGAGGAATCTGTCGACGTAGAAATCCCGCCTGAATCTTTTAGGTTATCCAAAGACGCCGAGTTCCACTGGTTCGATGGCAACGCTTTTTACGAACGGAAAGAGTCACATAAAGGAAACTCTGCTTCCAACTTTACCAATCTTAATCCTAATTTGAACTCAGACTCCAATTCTCAACGCTTTCCCGTGAGAACGTCTAAAGCTTCCATCATCGGATTACCGAAACCGCAAAAATCTTGTTTTATTCTAACAAAGAACAGGAAGAATACTAAGCCTAGAAACACTAGATTGTTTCCTAAACGTCCCGGTTCTGTTAAATCAGTTTCGCCGGTTGAACCGTCCTCGCCTAAGGTTTCTTGTATGGGAAGGGTGAGATCGAGGCAAGACCCGAATCGCTCACTAAAAAAGAACCGCCAAAATCCGGACGAAATCGAATCAGTTAAAGAGAAAAGAACAAGAAAAAGAAGCGGTTGTTTTCCAAGTTTTTTGGCTATTTTTCGATCAAACGGCAGAGCACCTGAATCACACACTGTTGCAGTGGAGCCTTCGCCGCCGAGGAACAGCGACATTAGGTCTCGTTTGCCGCCAGATGATCGCGATGCAAAATCAATGGAGCCTGGAATCACGGAGACCGCACCGGTGGGTCTAGGTGGAATGAAGCACTTGGCGTCGGGTAGAAGATCTGAGCCGTTAATCTACCTGTTGGAAAAGGTATGTTAGTGGTGGGCCATAGCTAAGGCGTGGGTTGGACCAGGGTCGCGGTAAGTTTCGTTCCGTGCTGACGTGCATTATTTATAAGAGTTTGTAGATAATGAGTGATTTCGAAGGGCACAGTTTGTAAAATTTTGGTTTAATAAAAACTTTGAAAAGAAGTGAAATTTGAACACGATTATCTTTGAGAAATAATGAATATAGGAAAGTTATGAAAGCAGCATCGATCAAAGAAACACAGTCGTGAAATGAAGGTGCTGTGACGGTTCATGGCAGTGCATTTGCTTTAGTACCAATGCATATTGCTCGATCAGAAATTTATTATTAAACAAAAAAGACCAGAGACTGGTTTTTACCCCCTCAAATATCAGTCATCCTGTTATCATAAACATTGACAATCAAATCACAAACAGAACCTTATCCTTGCCCCAACTGCAACTATGATGACAAAGTGGGTTCGGTCATTTAGATGCTGCCATTAACAAATCTGATTAATTGAAAATCCCGAATGATGCTTCAATCAACTCATGGTTAAGAAACAAATCCATTATACCAGTCCTCGATAACAAATTCAAAACATCCAGAAAGGGGCATGGCGATTTCATTCCTCTGATTGCCTCTGTCCCAGCACCGGAATGTCCTCATATCGTCTGTAGTACAAGAATAAAGTCAAAACTTACAAGTTAAGTAAATGAACCACATAAGCTGTGGAGGTAATTCATTATTGCAGACAAAGAACAACAAACAAGTTGTCCAGCAACTACGCAAATAACGACACGTCAAAATGGATAAGCTATAACCAAGTCATTGTGAAACAGCAAAATTCTTGACATCAAAGAAAGCTAGATTGTATCACATGGTAATAGAAAAATAGAGAGAAGATTCAAAGAAGCAAAAACAGCGCATTTGTGGCAATACATATGACATAACTATGCACACAATTGAGACCAAATAATAATAAAATTAGGAACACAACCTAGGAGGACCAATATAAAATAAGTGGCAAGTAACACCAACCACCACACAATGTACAAAATATAGGGTGCTGCAATTGTTGAACAGGAGTTACAGCCTTCTACAAGAATTGCAACATTTGTTTCATTTAACAGACATTTAAAACTCAACGACATTTAAGTTTGCAAGGTAATTACAATCATTCCAAGTTCCTTTCTCAATAAAGGCTATCAGAAGCAGCCAATTCCCACAATATTTTTTTAAGACACTTTTCCAAACTCAAGCATCTAGTAGCACTATCAAAACTGTATTTGATCATCGAATAGCACTATCAAAACTGTATTTGATCATCGAGAACAATATAAAAGGTACAAGTGTATTACGACTATATTGTATCCTCACATCAATGCAATCAAAAACAAGTCCATCAGTGTGATTGTGCAAAGTCGTCGAATGATATTCCAAACAACCCCAACATGATAAACTGATTATGCCATAGAGTTTACAAGAAAACTAAATTAAGATAAGAAAATTTACCCCAACATTGTTGTATTCCCAGAGCCTATGAACTCCATAATCTACAGCCTGCAAAATCGAATCAATTATAGTAAAATTCTCCATGCTTCTTTTTCATTAGAAAAAAACCCATAAACAACAATTAAAACCAAATAATCGCCATTTGAAGGTTATTTAGAAACTCATCCATTACAACAGAAAAAACCAAATAATCAATAGCAATCATTATCCTAGAAAAAAAAATCCAATCAGAAATTAACAAACGCTAACCATTTTCCTAGAAATATACAAACAAATTTAACGAAAAAAGGGATCAAATGTATAAATCAATGAGACTCAATGCGAAAGAGAGAAAAATTACTCGTTCTCCGAGAAAAGCGCCGGCGATGACGAAGGTGACGTATACAGAGTTACGGCGCATGATGACTCTGTAGAGGCCTCCTTGACTTCTTCTTCGAGTGGCAGAATGCATGGCGATTGAATAAGGTAAAGTAAGTCTTGCTGGGATCTGCTATTAAGGTTTGCAGAGAAGCTGCAGGCTGACAACTGGGCGAGTTTTGGTTCTGTAATAGTGAAATGAGCGGTTAGTGGATCTAACCGATTTATATGGATCACTTGCCGGGTCAGCGGCCCAATTGGTTCGATTTTGTTTCCTTCTTTTATAATTTGAGTAAATTCCACCAAAGAATCACTCAATTATGACAAAATATTTTGGGTAAATTGTACGAGAGATCACTCAATTATTGTATATTGACGTTATGTGTATAACGAACATTAGTTTTTTTTTAAAATTACAATTGAGTGATATTATTGTAATAATTGATAATTAGGTGGCGTTTGGTTGGATGGAATCCCTTGGAATTGAGAGAAATTGGAATCTAATTCCACTATTTTCCCATATTTGGTTCAAGTTTTCCAAGGGAATTGGAATCCTTCATTGCTTCAACTTTTCATCAAATGAGGGAAAGTGAATTTAATCCAAGAATGAATGGAATTCAATTCCCTTATTGGAGGGAATTGAAATTTGAATATACTATCCTCATCAATCTTTTGATAACTTATTCATATATTGAATAAAAATATATTTTTATTATTTTGGGTCGGGTCGGGTGAAACTTAATTTGGTCGGGTCGGGGTCGGTTTTTTTAAGTGTGATATTCGAGTCGGGTCGAGTTCGGGTTTAGGGTGAAAAATACCTGACCCGAAAATATATATAATTTTAACTGATATATTTAGGAATAATTACAATAATACCCCTCTCTATATATATTTTTTTCAATTAAGTCATTGTTTTTATTGAATAAAAATAATTTTTTATTATTTCGGGTCGGGTCGGATTTCTAATTCATATATTCGGGTCGGGTGAAACTTTATTTTGTTCGGGTCGGGTTGGGTTTTTTTAAGTGTGATATTCGGGTCGGTTTCGGGTTTAGGGTGAAAAAACTGGACCGACCCGGAAAAAATATATAATTTTACCTTATATATTTAGGAATAATTACAATAATACCCCTCTATATATAATTTTTTTTTTCAATTAAGTCAATGTTTTTATTGAATAAAAATATTTTTTTATTATTTTTTGTCGTGTCGGGTCGGGTTTCTAATTTATATATTGAATAAAAATAGTTTTTGGTATATTTTTTGGTAACTAATTAACATACTCCGATTGGAATGTATCGAAATATTGCTCTATCTTTTGGTAACTTATTAACATATTTTGATTGCGATGATTTTAACTTATGATGTTTATTAGCATGATTTTTATAATTTATTGAAATGAATAATCAATCAATAAAATGAAATTTTAATATTTTTTTATAATATATTACTACATTAAGTTGTAAAACAAACTAAAATAAAGCAAAAAAAACAAGAAGGACAATTCTGTCATTTTACATTACTGAAATCAAATTCACCTGACATGTCTGCGAACCAAACAAAAATATGAAATTGGATTCCAATTCCATTTCCTGTCAACCAAACAGAATATGGAATTAGATTCCAATTCCTGATAGATTCCAATTCCTTCACATATTCCAATTCCCTCATAAACATTTCATCGAACCAAAAAAAACCTTAAATGATCCAATTATTAGATTAAAAAATAAAATAAACTGATTATAATTAAAAAGTTATTGTTTGTTTTATTTTTAAAGATAAAACGATCTTTCTGTATCAATTGATAAACTAGGTGACATATTTGTAACTTTTTAATATTTAATGACTTATTCATAATATTACTAATACTTTAGGGGCCATTTATGTAATTCGCCTAAAAAGTTTCACATAAAATCGTAAAACATAAGATTAATATAAATAAAACTACCTGAATTATACTATTTTTCCAAAGTGGTGTATAATTTTTTTTCCAGTCAATATAGGTATATCGTTACAAACTTTGTCACTTTAAGTGTCTCGTCCATAACGGTTGTTAAAAATTCTCATTAAGTGTCACATATCACGTTTCATAATTTTAAAAATTTTATTTAAAATAAAAAATAAAATTTTATTTTTTGAAAAACCTAAATTTTTTGAAAAGCTTTAAAAAAATCTTAAAACTTTGAAAACTTTAATTTCAATCCATATACCCATACCGACCATCGTCCTTTATCGCCGCCGAACCTCCACTCGACCTCACTTCCACCCGACCTCACCTCAACCTGACGACCAATAATCCTATGAAAATCCATCGGGACAGGAACCAATCGACGCAACCCCCGACGAGCCCCGACGCTCCAAAGCACAACCCCACGCGATCCCAACGGCCAATTGACGACAATGATGACAACACCTAAGTAGGAAGATAACAAGGACAACACTGACGGTTGCAGTCATGACTAGAAAGGATGACGTCGACGGGTTAAGATTATATATTTGAAATTTTTATGGATTTAGGGTTTTTTTGGATAATTTAAGAGAAATAGTATAGTAATGGTCATTGAACATTTCTGAAGCTTGGATTTAGGTCCCTCAACTTTTAAAACTTGTAATACAGTCCCCCAACATTTAATTCATTTGCAATATGGTCCATGTACCTATGAAAATTAGGGTAAATTATATAAATGGTCACTGAACTTTTTAGGCACTTGAATTTAGGTCCCCTAACTTTTAAAACTTACAAAACATTCCTCAACTTCATTCTAAACCCCAAATTCCAAAGTAATTCAATTTCATTCTAAACCTTAAATTCCAAAATAATTCAATTACATTCTAAAACCCAAATTCTAAAATATTTCAATTTAAGGAGGAATATACTAGATTATCTTTAAGAACGTGATAGCATTTTGATTTTTTTTTACTTTTGTGAAAAAAATACACTCCCTCCTCGTAAATGTAAATTTAGTGACCTTCAATAATTTAAATATAAAAAAATATTTATGGAAGAAATTGAATAAAAAAAAACACAATCTCTCAATGAAAAAAAATTAAGAATCAAAATCCCCAATTGACATCCTTATAATTTTTATTTATTTCAATTATAATTTAGTTTTTTAATAGTTTGATGTGATTATAAGATAGTATTTATTCAAAAAAATTAATTTATTAATAATATAGATATACCCTACAAACACAATTGTTTGAATTTAAAACTTTTAAAGAAAATAACATTTTTTTACCTATGAAATCACTTAAAGAGTTATAATATAATTTTGTTAAGTGTATTAGAAAATTTAAAAATATATCGTGTTAGAACTAAAAGAATACGTGACCATGAAATAGAAAGTTTACGTACATTACGAAAACATGTCACAAACCCCATCTCTTTTGAGTTGATTGTTATCATCAACTTAGGGTATATTATATTAAATTATTGATTTTTTTTTGAAGTAGTCAACTTCAGTGTTTAATTTTTATTGTGTTTTTTATGATTTTATTAAATAATTTTTCTACAAAAAATATTCGATGTAATAAGTAAATAAATATTTAATTATCATGGTAATATTTATATTTTAATTATAATAGAAATAATATAAAAATAAAATATATTTATACATCATTACTATAATTAAAATAACTCATATATAAAATTTTGACTATGCTATTTATGTAGTCTTAATATTTATATGAAAGATATAAAATATATTAACACGTATGATTAGATATAAAAACATACACAAATAATCAGAAATATATTTTTTTTAAATAAATGAATTATTATCATATATTCTTACTATTGAAATTTTTTTATGTCTTTAAATTAATATTAAAAAATTATCATATGTTTTTAAATATAAAAAGTAAATTAATTAATAATTTAGTGACATTGGCGTCGTTTATAAAAAAAAGACAGAAATTGAAGTATTTCAGAATTTGGGTTTTAGAATGTAATTGAATTATTTTAGAATTTAGGGTTTAGAATGAAATTGAATTATTTTGGAATTTGTGGTTTAAAATGAAATTGAGGATTGTTTTGTATCTTTTAAAAGTTGAGAGACCTAAATTCAAGTACCTAAAAAGTTCAGTGACCATTTATATAATTTACCCTAATTTTCATAGGTACGGGACCATATTGTAAACGGATTAAATATTGGGGGACTGTATTGCAAGTTTTAAAAGTTGAAGACCTAAATACAAGATTCAGAAATGTTCAGTGACCATTACTATACTTTACCCGAGAAATTAAGGTTTTTCCTGTTATTTACTTATTTTCAACGAAATGAGAAATCTTCTGTGCACTCTTTCAGGTTATCATGATCGAACAATCTTTTCAGTTCACTGGTCAAGGTATTGACACCATTTTATTGTTCGGACAACATTCATGTTTATTTCGTGAATGCAAAGAAGAATAAACCATTTTTTATTCAATCTTTAAGATTGAAGGTGAAAAGATTAATTCAATGTAAATGTCAATTTTTTAGGGAGCATTTGATTTTAATTGATGAATAAAAACTTGTTTAAATAGCAATTTGAAGGGTAAAAAAATATTATTCCGTATCTTTTGTTTAGTTCTTTCTAATTTTAATCTTTATCTATCATCTGAATAACTTGCTTTTTCTTTAAGTTTTAAGCTTAAACTGATTGCATATGACTTACTATCACAGAGAGGGAGTTGTTGCCAGTGGAGCTGCTGCTGCTGCTATAAGGTAATTTGTACAGAGCAAAGATGGTTCGGTATGTAATTCTTTTAGCCTCTTATTCATTGAACATATTTGCACATAAGAATTAAAACATGCTTCAGTGACGGTGGGGTGGTTATGCGAATGCTGAATACCAACCAGACTAAATTGCCCTGTTGTACGTATTAAGAGTTCTTGGCTGGATAATCATCTCTTCCCCTGCGTCCTTATTTAAGATCTAAAAGTGGCAATTCAGCCGGTTAATCTATTTTTTTGGTTTTACTTCAGATGAATGAACCTTCATATCAATTGCTATTGAAGAAGGAGAAGGCCCATGACATGGACATAAATTCTGTACAATGGTGCCCTGGGGTAAGATTTGCTTTCTGAAAAAATTAACTAGGATTTGTTTATTATTGTATGTACTTTCATGCTGATTGATGATGTATACAAAGGAAGAAATGAATATATATATATGTATGTATGTATGTATATATATATATTAATATACATAGTTTCTTTATGCATGGTAGGAGTGTCTGTTTGTTGGTTCAGTTTTTATTTGCTCCCTCTCTTGAACTAATGACCTAATGATTGTTTTACGAGTATTTGCCCAAACCAATACCCTTGAAAGGATAGAGAAACCATGCAAAAGTATTCAAAACAAAAATAACAATTGCAATTAAATTGTCTACTAAGCAGCCTAACCGGTATATGTTGAGTCAGAAGTCAGAACTTATAATTTCACTTTTCTCTTTAGTTACAGCATCTCTCTTTGTTGATTATCTGGAAATTGTGGTATTTGAGGCTCTTATTAAAAGAATGATTAACTAGTGGAAAGCATATGCTAACTGTATGAGGTATCTTAAAACAGATTTGTCTCGATTCTCATTTCGTTGAAAATAAGTAAATAACAGGAAAAACGCCTCCTTGCTTCTGCCAGTGATGATGGGACAATAAAGGTATGGGAGCTGGCAACTTTGCCCTGATCAAAATTTCTTTGTTTATTTTTTCATACCTATGGGAGTTATGTATGGTTTGGGGAATTTGTACGAGTGATAATCTAATGATTGTGGTTTTGAGAAGAAATAATATATTATTCATTAAGGAAACATGATTGCAATATTGGACAAGCAGAACTGCGGTGTAATTGCAAAAATTGACTGCAAGGTTCTACTCTAATTCCTACATGGATTTTGCCATGTTCTCGTCAAATTTCCTAATTATTTACTGATCTAAAAAAGCAAGCAGATATTATAAAATGGGAACATATTGTAAATACGGTTTGAATTTCAAATTTATAAACTTTGCCCTTTAAATTTGTCATGGAATGATTTAGCTAAATTATGCTGGTGTCCATTTAATCATATGCTTGGCTCTCATTAATCGGGATGGATGATGAAAATGTTGCCACCATTAATTATGTGAAATATGTCAAGTAACTTATTGACCAGTAATTGTCAGCAATCTTTTAATACAGGCCACCACATCAGTGGGTCTCACGTGTTCTTTGACTGCATCCTTTCAGCATGGTGGTGTTATTAAGCAAGCCTCAATTTTAATTTCTTCTGAAATTCCATAACCATAACACGATCATACTTACAAAACTAACATTACCAATTGATTATTATATATGTATATATATAAAGAACACCGAATAATAATAATAATATTAACAATCTCTTCTTTGCTTTCTCTCCAAATGCACTCTGTACAAGCTACTTTTATTGAAACATGGCACTCAACACAAGCTCTACTCTATCCTAAGGGGGGCAGGATTCTGAGTGTGAGGCATAACTACATTGGTTTGAGAGCTGAGGCACTGCAAAAAAAAAAAAACAATCAAACTCTTGGATAGCGTGAACGTCCTTTCTTCTTCAGGAACTCCGGGATGTCCACTGAACCACCTTCATTGAAAGACGACCACCGGTTAATTCCAACACCAGCATCTCCCTGTGCTACCTGACTCACCTGCATTTAGTTGGAATCCTGTATAGATTGGTTCATTTTAGAGAGAGAGAGAGAAATGATAAAGAGAGCGGTACCTGAAGCGACCTCCCTTCACTTTCTTCTTGACGTTTAAATCCGGTGGCAATCAGTGTTATACTTACCTAAATAAAGACCCAAAATGATATTTGACATCAAATTAATGACTAATATTCAGGATCATGAATGGTGCAGAAAGTGGTCTTGTTGGTCTGTGCAAACATGCCTTATCGATAAATCCTAATGAAGATTATGATCCAGCCTAATATGGCATTTGTTATAAATTCAACAGTTCTATTTAATGTTTGTGAATTCATCTGATTTTGCCTTATTCTATATGACTTCGCATATTTACCTTAACATCATTGAAAATTCAAGAATGACTAAATAAGCTTGAAGTGGAGATGAGAGATGGTTCAGATAATTTTCCGGTACCTCTAAGGTGTATAAACTCAAAGGCAACACATCTCTTATCGGAGTGACATGTGGCCCAGTCAGTAAAGTTCATCCATGAGGGCATTTGTTGCCAGGATTGAAGCCTACTTTTCTGATTTTTTATTTATTTATTTACTGTTATTACATATGCTTGATTAGAACTACAGTTCGCTGGTAGGCAGTGTATTCAAAACATGGTGATCATTATACAGATATGCTGATGACTCTTTCTGAGCCTAGACTTCGAAATGAACAAGTTTAAACAAGTATTAACTTACTTGGCCACTAATCAATGGATCTATCACGGCTCCAAATATTAAATTGGCAGTCGGATCGACAAGATCATATATTACCTCAGCTGCAGCATTAACCTACAGAAATTTATCACATGTCAAGTGAATACATATGAAGAGAAATAAAATATGAATGCATAATCTAGATCAAGAGGAACATTCAAGATGACCAAGGTCTCCGGAGTATGATATTTCAGTCACTTGGTAGACAATTTCTGGTTATTGTTGTGCGGAGAAATAATAAAAGATGTTGTGAAGAATTGCTAAATGTCTTAAAAGATAACGCATTGTAGATAGCACATCACTCTTGCATGTAATCATTGGGAAATACAACTAGCTCAAGGGCCAATCATGCAAACACTAGGCCTACAAGATCTCTAATCCAAACATATTTCTGAAGCAATCAGTGGCTGAAGGTGTGCCATTTCCTACAATTGCTTCCCTCTATAAAAGGAGTATGCCATTCTCACATATGTGCCGCTCAGGCTTCAATAACTCCTCTTTCCTGTAAGGGCTCCACTCACATATATATAAAAACAATTTTTGGGCACAAGAAATGAAAAAAAGTGAAATAGATCGGTACTAGTGTTAATGTCCAGTTAGCAACTCACAGCTGCAGCCGCATCACACATACACCGAGGGAGTTAGAGAAGGGGGTTACCTCAAACAAGGTTAAATCACTTCCACCAGTTATGTTCCAGACAATTCCAGTAGCCCTTTCTATACCAATATCTAACAAAGGTGATTGGATAGCATTGAGTGCAGCATCTCTTGCCCTTGTTTTTCCTACAAAGCAGGCAAATTGACATGTCAATGGAAAGCCAATTAAAAATCTGCACAATAAACTAAAGCATCATGAAGAGGAGATCAAAGTCCATCCGTCATGAGAAAATTAATTTCTTTCACAACAAAACATCAATAGGTACTGCCAGTAAAAGGAAGAAAGGAAAGAGAATGGGCAGGGCTACTACCACTTCTATTTTTGTCAGAGGGAAAAAAATAAAAAAGGTAGGAACTTCATGCATTCAAAGTCAAAGCTGTGATGCATTCTCTGCAGTCCAATCTGCACCATCTTTAGCATTTTCAAAACATAGGTGAGGAACACATAACACGATGGCTGCCAAGTTCTTTCCCAAGAAACCTCTACTTTTTCAATCTATACACATTCTCTTCTCCCTGATACTTCCTCGTATCCTTTTTCTCAGAAAAGTTTAGGAGCATATGTGATATGACAAACAACCTCAAATCTTGAATAAAATGTTAAGCATATCATTGAATTACCAGTTGCAGTTCCTATCCCCATCAGTGAAGAACCTGCATTTGCCATTATAGTTCGCACATCAGCGAAATCCACATTGACTAGCCCTGGAAGCTGCAATCAGGAAACTCACAACCAATTAGAGTGCAGTGGTATGGTCCAAAGGTCATAATACTTCCACGTTTGTGCAGCCCAAATATTACACATATGAATGGTAGTCATGCAAATATACTGATTTTCACCGGATCGAAGGTTCTGTTCCAGAACCCTGAGATCAGAATTAGCAGTGACAATGACCAAAGTTACTAGACCATCTAACATACGGACCCTACAACTTCTGTCTGATTACATATGAACAACGGAAAACATACATATCTTTAGCGTAACAACCATGGTAATAAATCATAGAAGTTATTTACCAGAGAAAAGGCTCGAGATATGTAACAAAAAGTGTAACCCTCAACTCTCAAGTATTATATGGATAAAGGATACAAAAGAACCACACTAGCTTTAACCACCCAAAGCTTAAGAATTAGAAACTTCACATTGAAGGGGGGAGGGGGGGGGGAAGAGATGGAAAGGCATCACCAAACTATTAGTTCATCCTTGCCATCTAATAAACTAGGCAAATTTTAAGGTGCAAAAAGGTTCCTATTACTAGCTTGTAATATATCAGAAAAAAATTTCCCATAAGATCATCAATAAAACTGGAAAGGCAGTATCGATTTTCAAGGACTATGCAATGAGAATGAACAAAAAACAACATTAAAGTTATGTTTTCTTTGCCTAAATATTTTGATTTCAACTCGATCATGGATGGTTAGGTTAGAAGGGTTCTGATAGTTCCTTGAAGAATTCCATACCGTAATTATATCGGAGATACCCCGAACACCTTGTCGAAGAATGTCATCAGCCAGATTAAACGCTTCTGTTACTGGAGTAGACGGGGAAACTGCAGTCAACAACTTGTCATTTGGAATAACAATCAGTGTGTCAACATTTTCTCTTAAAGCTGCAATTCCTTCCTGTGCTTGAACAGCTCTCCTCCTTCCTTCAAAAGAAAAAGGGGTAGTGACAATACCAACAGTTAATATACCCATTGACTTTGCAACCCCTGCAATTACAGGAGCTCCACCAGTTCCAGTTCCACCACCCATTCCAGCCTGCAAATACACAATTAGTCCTTGGTAAAATGTTAAAGGAAGATACTAGAAGACAAAAGAAAACCAAGATCCCACGTCCCGGTCCTAATTTTTGACTTGGCAACTAACAAAATACCAAACACCTTTGTGCAACAGTACCATAATAAAAGATTAAATAAAGTAACCCTAAACCAAACACCTTGACCATTCAATTTGATTGGATAGGTTAAATAAGAAACCACGTATAAGTAGGCAGACAGTTGGCATTTATCATATAATAAATGAATTAACTGTATATAGGAAATCTAAATATTTTATTTGACAAATATTCTTTAACTAGTCTAGTTAACTATGGAAGCAGAACATAAAACTAATTTTCTTGTTGCATAGAATATTTTGCTCAATTTTCTGCATTACTAACTGTAATATATTTTCATAAAATACAGTTTAGATTAAGACAATAATTAAATCAGATTAATAACAGTAGTAAGTATCAATCTTAATTCGACCCAAATGATTAAAATTGTAGATGGTTGGGAACTTACAGTAACAAAAACCATGTCAGTACCATAAAGAGCATGTTCTACTGACTCCTTGCTTTCTTTAGCAGCATTCATGCCAATCTCTGGGTTCCCACCAGCACCAAGACCCCTAGTTAGTTCCTGACCAATTTGCAATCGGTGCTCAGGAAAGACGGGTGACATTTTCAGGGCTTGAACATCGGTGTTAACAATCCAGAACTCAACACCCTTCATTGCACTTTCTATCATGCGATTAACAGCATTTGACCCACCTCCCCCAACACCAATAACTTTGATCTTAGCTTCATTATAATTACTTGAACCGGACATGTCTCCTAAGCTTTCAATGACATTTCCACTAGAGCTATTCTTTCTCGGGCTGGTTATTGTATTGTTCCCTTCACCTCTAAGCATTGGAACTTCATGATGCAGATTCAGAAAAGGGTCCATATTTTGATACCGATTGACACTGTGAGGGTTGGTTGAACATCTAAAATTTGGCATGGCAGTCCTTTGACCGGCTCCTGAAAATGCACTTTTTCCATCACATATTCTAAGGCTGCTAAATCTCCCTAGAGGATTCTCCATTAACACTCTCCCTCCAAGAACATTAAGTACCCCCATTGATCTACTGTCTGATGGTGTAAAATAAGGCGATATAGCAGTCGCCATTTTAGGGGAGACACTAACAAATCAAATTTACTTAAACTACTAGACAAGCAGGAAAGTTTAGAGTCCTGAATAACTTGAAATTCAAGTTGCACAGTCAAATTTTCTTACACCTGCATAAGACACTTGATAGAATTAAAAGAATATTAAAAAATATTAAAAAAACAGACTCCGAGGGGAGAAACAAACCTTTAGCTAAAGCACTATCAGTGGCAGTGTCACTGTCAACTACAAATTAAAGATAAAATAATCCTCAAAACCCAGAATAAATTCTCAAAGACCGTATAAAATGTGAAGTATAACATCAAAGAGTTGCAGAAACAAATTCTAAAAATAATGATAATAATAATAATAACAATAAATAAGAGTACAAACGGCCCAAACTGCTGCAACTTTAGAGCTCAGAGCAAGAAGATTCATCAATCGTAACAAAAAGTCCAACCTTTGCAGTTGGAACTCAGAACCAGAAATTTTCTCATTAAAAAAGAAGAAAAAAAGTGCCCAAACTAAATAAGATGCATCAAAATGGGATGAAAAAGAGAAAATGGCATATAGGTCACAAAGAGACAGAGGAAATGAGAAAACCTGAATGATATGTAGAATCGAAGGAACCAAGAAACAGCAAAGTTCTCCAAAGGCATTTGGGTGCTGAAGCTCAAATGGGGAGAAATGGGAGAGGGTCTCTCTGTTTTTTTTCGTAATTAATTTACAGCGCTTGAAACTCTTTTTGGCTTTAGCTCTGTGATTTCCTTTGTCATGTTGTTGATGAAAAAGAAAAGCACTCAGAATAAAGAGATTTTTTATATAAAAAAAATTATCTGATTGACGGTTAGGAGAGCTTTAGATTCAACGATAAGTAATTTTTTTCCAAAAATAAATACTCCATATTTTTATTATTAAAATATAAACTTATCATGTTCTAGCTAATAGATTAATATACAATTTAAATTATCATCAATTTTTAATCAAAAAATAAATAATTTAAAAAATATTAATAATTATTTTATAATATTAACAGTCGGAGATTTAAAAAATAATATCTTATAATTAAAAGATTATTTTTATAATTTTTAATAATTAAAAAAATTTAACAAAATAATATAATATAATTAAGAGATTATTTGTGTACTTTATACTATAATTTAAATTATACTAATAATTACAACGCGATCCATACCCGATTCGGGGCCTCTGTTTTTAAGCGTTCATTTCCTTTGTCTAACATCTGCAACAACAAGCCAAGGCCAAGCTTCTTCCTTTTGAATCCGACGGCATCAGTTCACCTCGTAGCTTCTTCCTCCTGTCGGGCGGCGCATAAGATTCTTTGTTGGCCTCTCCCTTCCCATTTCTTTTCCGTTATTTAGAGAGATACCGATGGCTTCTCGATTATTCGCGACAGCCGCCGAGAAAATCGGGCCCGCTGCTATAAGGCGGCAAGCTCTGTCTTTGACCGAAGCAGCCGCCTCCAGAATACGCCACCTTCTTCAACAACGCAATAGACCCTTCCTTCAATTGGGTGTTAAGGCACGCGGCTGCAACGGCTTATCCTACACCCTCAATTACGCCGGTTCGTCTCATGTTATAATACTCTTGACTTTTGTATCTTTATATTTGTGAAATTAATGTTTTGTTAATTTATTTTTATTATTTATGGAATTGACTGATAGATGAGAAAGGAAAGTTCGATGAATTGGTTGAAGACAAGGGTGTGAAAATACTGATTGATCCTAAAGCTTTGATGCATGTAATTGGAACCCAGATGGATTTTGTGGATGATAAACTCAGGTATTTCATAGTTTAATCTTTCAGGAGTTTTATTTTGTGTTCCTATCATTTTGTTTCATTTGCTCTAAATATTGTATCTTTATGTGATCAATTAAATTGGAAGCATAAATTAGATTTAAATCACTAACATTTGGCCAATCAGTATTCGGGAATATGTACTATTTAGTTGTGTTTTGGTTTTTATCCATAGGCGGAAAGCGGAAATTTTTGGTTCAACAACACATGAACATTTCCAATTTGGTTTTCAGTTCTGCCCCATTGACGTTTTTCCTGAATTTGTTGCGTATACTTCTCATTTTTCTTAAAATACCTGTATCCTATATCTGTTGTTCAACACAATTCACATACCATATGATTCTCCGGGTATATAAAAAAACTTCAAGATCAAAGATACCCATATCTATCTCGACACTCGAGAATCTGAGTAACATACCAGATATTTCTAGCTAGTGTTGACTCTATGGCTGTTCCTGCCTATCATCGTTCCTTTCGCGAGTAACAACTCATTCCCACAATGGCCACATATTATAGCCACTCTACCTATAGCAGTCCACCATCACTGCATCCTTCTTACGGTTGCTCAGCGTGCTTCCATGAACTTGGGTGTTTGTGGGACAGAAAAAAATTTCTATAGCAGAGCTCTTAACTGGATAATCTGGAATGTTGCACGTAGAAGCATCCACCATTTAGTAGGCTCTGATATTAGCAACGGTCAACACAATTTAGCACGTACATACATCAATCTCAATGCTTTCTATAACAGTTATTGTTTCTTGCATTTTGATTGGTATTCAATCTTCCTTCACAGGTCTGAGTTCGTTTTTATCAACCCAAACGCTAAAGGTCAATGTGGATGCGGTGAATCTTTCATGACTACAGCTGGTTCTAGTGGTGGAGCTGCTAAACAGGGTAGTACTTAAGGATTTTGAAAACCTTTTAATATGTCTTAAAATATCTTGCTTGATTCCAGGGAGCTCTTAAATCTGCCCTTCGAAATAAACCGAAAGGTATATGTTACTAGCTTTTGTGGCAGATGTTGGCAACTAATTGTACGAGTATAGGTGGCATATAGATTCAGTATTGCCATATAACACATGGTAGTTTTCGATTTAAAAATAGTTTTGTGTATATACCAATTCATTATGATTGTCGCATTATATCAAGTTCTTTTTATATTGCAGCAAAAATTCGTAATTATATTGAAACAATATACCTGTAGGTTAGCCCCTTGGAAATGCAATCGGCGTACTTTAATATACATTTTCCTATCTACGACATCATAGAGTATGCTAATCATGCTATGTTTTTGTATGCTTCAGTCACTTGCAATGCAAACTAGTGGTATATAGAAGTTGGGAACCTAGGGTTTTGTGAATAAACTAGTGTGGTTGAAATGTTCAGAAAAGGAAGTTGCCAGATAACTATCTCCACTTGAGCCATCTTCAAGGTTTTTTTTTAGTGTATAAATCTTTTGAGTGTTAGTTGAGCCTTTTACTTTGTGCTTTGCATCAGTCAAACAAAGGCAAATTTCCCTTTTCTTGCAGAGAGAGAGTATGTGTATGATATTTATTATTCAGGCAAGTATTGCACCAATGTTATTGCAAGATGAAAGAGTGTCTGAGGTGTCTTGAGAAAAGCTCTATTTAATAGATTTTTGTAAGAATTGGAACTCCAGACCGCAGGTTCTGTTTTCTTGTTCCTTTGTGTTCCTGGTGTTCTCTTCATTTATAAATAATTCACGCTGTTTATCAGCGCTGGCTTCTCGCTTTACAATGGACAACTAAAGCTTCATCTCATCCTTCTTTGTTTTTCTTTAGCTTTCCAGGCCTTCATCTGTGTCTTCGTTTTCCACTCCTCAAAGCACTGCAAGAAAAATACAACTAAAAATTAGGAAGATCGAAGCTAAAAATGAATCATGCATTCAAAACCACATGGGTAGATATTGTTGCCATCAATGTTCGAAGTTTCTCTCATGTACCAACTACTTAGGGACATGCTTAGAAAAAGAAAGTGAATGTTTTACCTGCTGCTTAGAAAAAGAAAGTGAATGTTCTCAACCTCCATCATTGTAGTATCGTAATGGTAATTACAATTTAATACCTCAACAATTCATTATCTAAGCTACGTTTCCCTTCCCAGAGCTTGGCCCGTCATTATGCATTGTATTATTTATAATAAGAAGAAACCCTAGCTCTTCAGCTTGGTAGCCATTGTCATAGATATCTATTAGAGCCAGGTAGAATTTATTTCAACCTAAATTCATGAAAACACAAAACTAAAAATCCTTGACATTTCTCTCTTAAGGAAACAAAACATTATAAAATCAGTATAGAGAATTTGGATAGTTTATTTTTTATGAAGTATTTCTATTTTGAAATTTATAAAAATTTGAAGGTAAATTATACTTATGATCATTTAATTATTATTTATTTTTATTTTGATTATCGATTTCTTTTATTTTAACAATCATATTATTTAACTATCTAATTGTTGTAATCAAGTCATTTATCATTAATGTTTGACGGAAGAGTTTATATGTGTTGGTAATACACAATCCCACATGGGGTTGGAAATACTATTGAGAATTGGTATTTAAGGTTTGCATTCGCCACTCATTGTTGAGTGATAGAGAACAAGGGGACTTTCATGCACAGCTGCTGCCGTTTGTTCGTTGTGGTTGTGGTCATGGTTGTGTCTTTGCCATCTTGCATGGATACTATCTGTTTAGAGAAAATACGTGTGGAATTTCTCTTTGAAAGAACAAATAAAAAAGTGATATGATATTTATAGGTTGCTGATGACAGTTTAAATTTAAATATTTTAGATGATAATAACTTATTAATTAGTTGTCTGAAATTAAATAAATTTAACAATTATTTTCCTAAATTAAGTCAAAACGTTAATATGTATCTAGACTGATTTTCAGCTTTGTTCAAATGAGAGACAAGCTGTTAATATCAATAGTTACATGATTTAATTCCAGGAGTAATACCGCCAGCAGTCCACTCCGGTTTCGGGGTACAAAATTTGAAGCGACAGTGTTAACTTGGAGGGACGATCCGCCTATTAGAGCGATCACACACATCGGGACGAATCCGTTTTTAAGACATTAATTTTTACTACGACACGGTTTATGGTTTTAACTTTTGAATTATTATTTATTTTATCAGTCAATGCTAACGGTGTGACTTTACAATCCATAATTCCAACAATATGATTGTTAAAAAATTTATATATTTATATACTTGCTCTTCATTACTTATAAATTAAATTAATTAATCTTAATTTTAATTTAACTCAACAAATTTAATTTCAATAAAATAGTAATACATGTTATCACTAGATTAGAATATTTTTTTATTTTAATCATTTAATTTAATAAAATTTCAATTCAATGCGAAGATGACACGCATCACCTTAGGAATTGAAGAAAAAAGCAATTTGAAAGAGAAATAATACCTACAAGGATCAAACTTGGGTATCAAGGATGGACTTTGCGCATTAGGTTAATGTAGATTTTATATACCCTGCCAAAGTTACAGGTAGGAAAACTAAAATGATTTAGATTGGATTCAAATTGAGACCTTGATGGAGACCAAGTAAGCCTTAGTCAGTGGGCTAAATTTAATATTTGAAATTTAATTACAATATTTTACATATATCATATATTATTGTTAAAAATAGATAGATTTAAACTTAGACCAATTGAGAATATAAGAGTACTTAAATCACTAAAATAAATCTAATACATTATTTATAATTGAATTTTAATATTTTAAAACAAATTTTATTATTTTTTTTGATAATTATATATAATTATAATAAAAAATTAAATTAAATTAAAAATTCATTTAACCTACACAAACTCACGAGCACAATTAAAATTAAAAGATTAATCTATAGTTAATTGTTTTTTCTTCTGATTATAAATTCAAATTATTTTTAATAATTTTATCTTTTTATTTAAATTTATAATCATAAAAAAATAATTTAGGACATAAAAAATTATTATGTATTTCAACTATAATGAGATTCCGTGGCTGTCCTCAGCTGAACATATTTTTTCTCTAACCTTTAATTCACTTGGCAATGTTGGTTTGATGAGGAGCTTTGTATGACATGATGAATCATTTTATATTTCAACTATAATAGTATATATTATAATACTGAACAAGTATATTTGATCGATTAATTAATCTTTATTATCTTATATTCTCCTAGTTTATTATGCAATACTCTTAGACTTTCAAATCACGTTTATTTCCTTGGCTGTACATTTTCAATCAATGAGATTGCATGGGTTGTTCTGTGCCACGCTAGTACTCCGATGATTCCGGTGTTTTAAATCATGTGCGCGTCCTTTGCATTGCTAAATAATTCGCAATTCATACTTTTCATTTAAGTAATCGAAAAACCTTTCTGCTTCAAATTCAACAATTCTTAGTTTACTCTAACCATGGCTGCAGAGCTTCAAGGAAGATTTCTGCAGAAAGTTTTATTTTTAGTACCGACACAAAGCCTATATATTTGTACCGTATATAAAACCACACAATTTACTTGATTCCAAGACCCCATTTTTTATTGAGTGTATTTGATCACTTTCTTCAGGCAAATCAACGTCTTCTTGCAGCTGTTTCTCGTTGAGCATTGAAATAAACAGCAGCAACAGGAAGGCCAAGATCATTCTCGGCGGCGAACTTTCGGGTGTCGAAGTGATCCCTTGAAGAAGGTGGCTTGATGACCTGTCGACGTTTCTGTTTGAAAACAACGATCACGAACCTGTGGATCCCAATAGTTGGCTTTGGGTTCTCATAGCTCACCACTTCCCTTCCTGTTTGATAAAAAAATCCCAGAAAAAGAGAAAATATAATAATGAAGTCAAATCACTTCATCTTCATAAACTGTCCTAGAGCACACCCAATCACACAGCAAAACCTACCGAATGTTGCATCCGTAGTGCCAGGGATGTCTGTCACAATCCTGTAAAATGGCCAGATATCAAAGAAACTGTCAGGCTATTATATTCGCTTGGTAAGAACAACATCTCTCGTGCCAAATGCATGCAGACTACTGGTCACCACAGATTATAATAAAGACATGACATCATTATAAGTTTATGGTTGTTGTTATCTAACAAATCTTAATGATTAATTAATACATCAAACCATTTTCTCTTCAACATCATTTTAGACCATTATATATGAAGCGGAAACACCGCATTTTCGGGGGCACTTGAGGTTGAGGTAATCCTATCCAGGCCCCAGTTGTATAGATAATTAAGGTATATGCATGTACTCTTTTATACCCCCTTTTGATCATCCTTTTAATTCACTAGAAAGAAGTTGGTTGATTGGATGTAGGATTTTGATGAGTTAACTTCTATTATAGAGAGTTGTAGGGCATGTGTACAGTGTACCAGTGAAGGTGCTCCCTTAGATAAGGATCACTAGGTCCAGGGACATCTGGGTCGGTCATGACCTGCAAGAAAACATAAATACCAGCTTGATCTTGGCGTCGGGGATGAATAGAAAGGGTGGCTGAGGACAACCGTCCCATAAAAATTTTAAATTATCATATATTTTAGATAATTTTTCTATATTTTCTATTTATAACGTGTTTTTGCCATCTTAGAATTTTATATGTTCATCTCCTCTTAACATAAAATCTTGCGGCCGTAGGTGAATGAGAAGAAAGGTTTCTTACCAGGGTGAAGAAAGTTCTCATGTCACCTCCTTCAATCTCTACCCTAGGTTTGTTGACAACAGCTGAAGGATAAAACTCGTGTCCATTGAACACTTGCTTGTTGTTGAAAGTGACAGTCATTTGAATGGTGGGAACGAAAGGATCCAGCACATTTCCAATGACTCCACCTACTACGAGAGGTTCCACCGCCCTTGCCATTCTTTCAGCTGCTCGAAGACTAAAAGATGATCGATTGGAGTTTGTTGATGGAGGGTGCGAGGAAGAAGAAGCTCTTTATATAGAGATTGAAACTCCTGTGAAAAGGCCTTAAGTTGTTCAGATGTAAAGCTATGGCTAGGCTATGGAGAAGGAGGTAGAAGAGTATAAGCTTTATAAATTAATATGGGAAATAAAGGATGGACTATATATGTCTATCTACTCCGTCTCTTGTGAACTCCTTTGGTGACATGAATCAGATGGATTAAGACCTTTGTAAATATTCTATTCAGTCATATTTGTTAGAATTACTTTGAAAATTATATGATTATTTTCTCGGCTGGGGGCCCCTGGAATTGGTTCTTCATTGGCTGTTTTCAAGGCTTTTTATATATAAATTAACCAATACTAATTCAACGAGAAATGATAGCTAAAAAATGTGTTACAGATTTTGTTATTATTTAAATAATAAAATCGGTAAAAGGTTATCAAAAATATTATTATTTATATTGGTTTTGTTATTATTGAGCATTTTACCAGTTTTGTTAACAAAACCGATAATACGCTATTAGTTTTATTATTGTTTGACACTTTATCGGAAATGTTAAAAAAACATTGATGTTTTAGGTAGAAATAATAATGTTTTAGATAATTTTTTATCTGTTTTATTATTTAAATAATAACAAAACCAATAATATCTCTTTTAGTTGTATATTAAGAGTGTCACACTATATAATTTCCGTTTTTTAAAAACGGATGTCTCTTGTTTTTTATTAACCTCAGTTTTTTTCAACCTCAGTTTTTTTCAACCAACAAGATTATGTCTCTTGTTGATAAGTTATGTCAAAGATGTATGTAATCAATCATATTTTTAAAAGGTGTGACTCGTAAGATGAGTGTTTGCCCTCTATAAATCTAGAGTTGTAAACAAGTCAAGTTCGAAAATTTTAAAACCGAGTTTGATTTGAACTTAAAATACAAATTTAAAATTTGACTTGAAAGCTCGAGAGTTTAAAATTTTTAAGCTTAACTCAAAATCAAAAATTGAAACTCGACTCGTGCTCGAAAAAACTTGAAGTCATTACATTCTCATACTATGCTATATTGAAGTTCAAACTTGAACTCAAACTTTAATGTTAACTACATGAAAATATTATATTATATATTAATGTTATTAATAATTAAATTTAAAAAATCTAAAAAAACAATACATTGTTTTTTTGAGTTACTCACGAGCTTTTCAAGTCAAGTATGAAGTAGTTCTCTTCAGCTTGTTACGAATTCGAGTTCGAGTCGAGTCTATTTAATTCAAGTGTTAACTGAGCTTTAACTGAGTTGATATTAAGTAGCTTGCGATCTGTTTCGTCTCATGTACAAACTTTATATAACATTTCAATCAATATAAGGGAATCATTTTAAAAATTAATTAAAAATAATTATTTTAATAATGCTATTTAGATAAAAAAAAAAACTAAAATGTTTTGAAAGGAAAACAAAACAAAAGGTCATTTACACGTGGAAGCATGTTGCATAAATATGCCCAAATGAAGGAAAGTCATCTTTTTCATTTAAGGCAAATGAAAAAGATAGTTGGAAATTGTAAAATGGTGTTTGAATTCATAGAACTTTCCCAAAATTACATTTGCAGACATCTTTTTACCATTTTAAGAGATATTCTTTTAGAGGAGAAGGCATCCACTGAGTGCGTGCTGCGTATTGCACCCATGTCATTTCAATCTTATTTTTAAACTAATTCAGTGGAATTCCAAATTCGCTTGGTGAAATACATGCTGCTTTTTTCCATAACTAGCACTCTAATTTCAATTATTAATTGTAAAAAAATAAGTAATTCAAAATAAAAACTTTTATTTAAAACTATTTTGAAAGTTTAGACCCTTATTTCATCATATTTGAAACTATTATACCTTTATTCTACTTTTTTGAAAACTTTAAATTCTCATTTAATCATTTTAAAAAATTAAATCATTATATCACAACCCTTAAAAGGAGAGAACATTATCTGAAATTTTACATGGTATTTATAGTTTTATTAACGAGTGCCCTTATGCACTCTGTAGGGTTGAACAATATATTATTATATTCTATACTAAAATAATATATATTAAATAATTTTCAACTTCAAAATATAGGAAGAAATATATGAACTTTATTTTCCTCAAGACATTAGAAAAATACAAAGACATGCTAATAAAAATAACCATAATTTATCAACTACCAAATATTTAATAGATTTAAATAAAAAAAACATTATATTAAACTACATAATTAAGTTGGTGAGTGCAGTTCAGCAATTTTGCACTTTTCAAAGCAAATTTATTAAAGTGTGTATATATATATATATATATATATATATATATATATATATATATATATATATATATATATATAGTTAGGGTAAACTACATAATTAGTCACATAACTATTATTTTGATTTTGTTTTGGTCACCTAATTGTTAGTTTTTAAAAACCATATCTAAAATTACGTTTTTAGTTTAGTTCTGGTCACCCACCGTTAAAAAATTAACGATGATGATAACGTGTCACCATAAGATAATACTAGGTCATTATTGAAAAAAATCATGTCAGCAATTCTATTAATTTTTTAATGGCGACTGACCAAAACGAAACCAAAGTGATAGTTAAGTGACTAAATACATAGTTTACCCATATAGTTAACAAAATTGTGATATCATATACATTCTAGAAACGTTATACAGTAAATATGGTTCGAAGAATTCCAAACCAAAAGAACATTAATATTTAATGTAAGCACAGAGAGTACCAAATTCTCTTGCATATTGGGGAGCTAACATGTCTTGTAAGAAACCGTTAGTACCATCACCCCATAGTTCTTAAGTGGAAGAGCAGTAATCTGTACAGTTAAGGAATCTTATATATTTAAATGTTATCGTTCTTATATGACCCGATTAACTAAAGCAATCAAAATTATAATGCATACAAACATAAAGAGAAAATCAGAGACAATAGTCATTAAAACACTCATATATAAAATAAAAATATTAAACTTAAATATTCGAAGAAAAATAATGCATTCGAATAAGAATGACATCCAACATTAAAATAACCTAATAACCTTCATAAAGCTCATTTTCTATGTCGAACAAGATATTTTATGAAATGATAAAGGAGTGGCGAGTGAACCAAACAATTTGACAGGCTGCTCCGCTATACAATTATGATTATATCGACAAACAATCTTTTATCATATAGGGGATCTGACAATAATGATCCCTACAAACCAATCAGAAAACAAATGTCGTGAGAGTTTTTGTGCGAGCACCAACACAATCACAAAGTTATGCGAAATTCGTATCATAAGCCACAAGGAATGTGCCACAATAACAGAGAAAAACGTGTCACAAAAACAAAGAAGAGTGTGTCACAAGAATAGAAATTCTTATTTAAAATTTTAAAAAAACTCAAAAACAAAAAGAGAAAACAAAGAACATAATATATATATATATAAAAAAATAATCACCCGCAATTAACAATTCATATTAAAAGAGAGAGAAAAAAAGAAAACGATACAAAAATATTAAGAAAAAAATTACTATTTATTTCATTAAGTGTTCTACTATTTGATAAAATATTTTTAACATGTATATAAAACGTTTTTATTTATTTGAAATTTGACTTTTTCTTTTAATAATGGGCATGCTTATTATTCATAATTCTATAACGTTATTGTTGATATATAATATATGAGTTGGTGATTCACGGTACTTCTTGAAATCATAAATAAAGGTTGTGAGAATGGAAGTAACAGCTCACTTGTGTTTATTTTTCTTGTCAGGTTGGTAAGTTTTAGAGAATGTATCAACACTTGCCCCTTAGTGTATGGAGCACTAACTTGCTGCGATTTCAATAATAACGGATTCAGAAACATTTTTTTTAAAACAAATACACATGTATGTTAACAAAAAGTTAATTAGTTTAATGATCGAAATAGAAAAAAATAATATTAATGATTTTTTTGCTAAAAATATTAGTTAGGGAGCTAAAATAAGAAAGAAGAAATAGATTGTGTAGTTTATCCATATTGTTTTTATATTTATATTGTGTTATATTTTAATTATTTTATAGTGTTGTCAATAAAAACTGGATCGGGTCGGTTGTGATATTAGACTATGGGTCGGAAAATATTTTGGGTCACATTTAATATTGGGTTATGGGCCCGGTAACATAATAAAATTGAAACGGCTTAATACTAAAAATAACCCCCAACGTTTATTAGAATGGTCGTTTTGACTCATATTCTTTTTTGAGCATTTTGCCCCCCCAACGTTTCACTTTCGGGCAAAAAGTTCCATCTATAGATGAAAACTATTAGATAACACACGATTAATGTTTCAAAATAGGAGTCTTTTTTAACCAAAAATGAAATGTTGATGGTTAAAATGCTTCAGAAAAAAGAAATAAGAGACCGTTATTATTCTAACTTCTTGAATTAATCTTCAAATATAAAGTATATATTGTATTATAGTCTATTGCAGACACTGATAAATCCTTTAATTTAGTTGGATAGAAAGTACAGAAGATTAATTATTTAATAATAGATATACATATCTCTTAAAGTTATAGTGAATAATAATAGATTATTTAATACCTTGGCACTTGTTTAATATCGTAACAAATTTATTAGCCTTCCTTTCTAAACTGGATTTTAAACATGTTTGATTATGCAAGGAGAGGCATCTTATTTGTATGATGCATGTGTATGGCATTCGATGGGACCCTATTGTAAGTAAAATCTTTCCTCCATTGTTTATATATGATGTTTCCTCCATTTCAGTTAAATCTTTGACACTGTAGTAACGTGGCTTATTATTTGTATTCTTGTGTGATGTGCAGATACAAAATTGACGAGTAAAATGCAAATTTATGTATGGAACATTGATCTTCCCACTTTTCTTATGTAGGCTGGATTCTTGATGTTAATGTGGCATTTATAGCTGGAATGGTGTCCTTTGTGTTTCGGCCTCGTGTGTATAATGAGAGAAGAAATAGTTGCAGGTTG